GTCAGAGGTGCTGGAGTGGATATCTCCTTTAGGGTTGGAGTCCCTCCCTGCGAGGGTTACACAAGGTGGGTGGTGTGACCTTTGAGAGGGTAGGGACGGTATTGAGGGTTTGTCGTTCTTTGGGCCACGCTGATTTTCGGGTCGGATCAGCTATGGCGGTTGGGGAGAGAGGACAAGGGGTGCTGACGTCTGCAGGGTGAGAGTTGAGAGGGCTGTTTCACTTGGAGGGGGTGGGGCAGGAAGATAGGGGGATCTTTTGCTCCGCGGGGGCATACTCTAGGAGGTATGGTATACGACTGAGGGAGGAGGAGGGGTATCCTGGGGACTGTTTTGAACTGGGGCAGGGAGGTGAGGGGGCGCCTTCCTACTAAGGCAGTAAACAAACAGGGGGTCGTTTTTTAGAGGAGGGGAGTAATCCCTTTGACTCTTGTGACCCCTTTTTATATGTATCCGAGACTTCAATAAACGCTGAAGTTTCCATGGGAAGAGAGGGTTGTTCTTCTCCCTCTCTTCCCCTCTCCCTGTGGGAATAGTGGACGCTTAAATATTCATGTGATTTTTCAGGATTTTGTGTGCTTGATTTTTCTTAATTTTTTAAAATTCTTGTTAGTATAATTTTAGTTGACGCCGGATAGCAGGAAGGGGGAAATTGGTCCTAAGGTTGCTAGGCAAGTGTGGTGGGTACGTGGGCAGAGGAGGGATTAGTGTTAAGGGGGTAGGTCGAATTAGAAGGGCGGGCTGGGGTGACAATGGTCGGTGCTGGAGCGTAGGTGCTCTGTAACCAGGGGTGGAGCTTGAGACTATTGGAGCTATGCCGAGGGTGGAAGGCATAACCATCCTGTTCAACGCAGCTGAATCCGGGGCAGTGACCCTGTAACCTTGGGGGCTTTTTAGCTAAGGAAGTTGTCGAGGGAGGAAGACACTTCCTGACTGTCATAATCAGCTCGGTTGGTACCGGGGCAGTTGGTGTTGCCATGTCATCCTAGCAGGGGAGGTATGAGACCTAGCGAGTTCTGGTGGGAGGACTGAACATCTGGATACGGTCTTTCCTCTGTGGTGCGAGGAGAGAGCTGGATTGTTGGTGGTTTTTGTTTTCCTCTCTTCCTGTTTTTAGGCCAATTAGACTCTTCTCGTATGTTCCTAGTCCAAGTTCTTAAGAATTTTTTTGATAGGTTTCTGCCTATGATCAGGGAGATTGTGGATAGAATGTCAGAGGGGAAGGAGAAGGTGAGAACTGAAAGATGGGAGGAAGCAAGGGGGGTCCAACATGGGAAGGGACGTCTGTCTAAGTAAGTAGGTTTGAAGGACAAAGTTGGGACAACGCAGACCGGTGCTGGAGCTTTTGCTCCGTAACCTGGGGGAGCAAGAGGTCTGTGGAGTTATATTGAGGGAGGAAGGCAAAACCAGTTTGTTCGACGTAGCTGATGCCGGGCGTTTTTCCCTGTAACTTAGGGGCAGTGCCGGACCCGTGAACGTGACCGGCCGTTCATTTGGTGTTTTTTTTTGTGAACGGCCGTTCACGGTGAACGGGCCGACCACTAAAAAGTGGTGTTTTTTTTTTTTTTATTGGGCTCCCCCAGGTACATTCCCCTCAAACTCCACAGCGTGGTGACATTGAAAATAAATAAATAAATCGAAATGACCTACAAAATAGCAAAAGAAAATGCTTATTTTGGCTGGTGGATTTGTTTTTTTTTCGTTTTTAATAAAAAAAAAATTATTCGTGAAAAAAAACATTGAAAAAATTATAGGGAGTTACCCTCCGATGTCCCCCACCCTCCTATAAAAAAAAAAACATACCCCCCCCACCAAAAAAAAAAAAAAAAAAAAAAAAACCGCTCTCCGTGAACTCCATGAACTCCCGTGAACGTGAACTCTGTGAACTCTATGACTGGCTCCGTTCACAGACCCCGTGAACGGTGAACGGGGGTACGACACTGCTTAGGGGCGTGTGGCTAATCGAGAGTGTCGAGGGAGGAAGGCACTCTTTGCCGCCTGAACAAGGCTGGTCGGTACTGGGGAAGTTTGTGTTGCTCTGTAACCCTAGCATAAGGGGGTATGAGATCAGCTGAGTTCTGGTTACGAGGACTTAATGCTTGGACTTAACGTTTTTTCGCTTGTTGAAAGGGAGGTGTAAACAGTAGGAGGTTTTAGTTAGGATCTTCTGTTTCCAGGTTTGGATTGTGGTTGGGTAGATCACGGGCAGTTTTATGAGAACTGCAGTTGTTTCTCATAGGTAATTGACTGATTGTTTTCCTAGCCGAAGCCGGGTAACGGCCCCAGAATTTCAAATGTGTTACATAAAAAAAAAAAAAAAAGAGGTGGCGATCAACCTGGTGGATAAGAGTTGCTGTCTGGCAGTTGGAAATACGGGTATCAGTCACGGTCCGTCCTGTTAAATTCAGTCGAGCTGGAACTTGAGTCTTTATTTTAACAGTTCAAGGGTGTACCAACTGAGCTAGGCTGGTGGGTCCTTTTCTGTTCTTTTTATTCTTCTTTTGTTTGACCCTGAGATATCATCATTGAACTGACCAGCCCCAGGTTAATCGGAATGAGTTTTATTCTGGTCATGTGATTGTATCTGGATTCCAACTCAGGGGCAAAGGTAAGAGGTCAGTTAGCAGAGTTAGGTTGATGGATGATGTCTCCTTGTTTTTGGCCTATCGGAAGGGGGACCAACACTTTATTAAACTACCAGTACTTGGCCCATACATAGGCCGTGGACGTTTCCCGCCGTTTCCACTTGGCTGAATTGGGCCTACCGGCCCAGGCCCGTTCATCCCAAAAGGCCGGCCCGTTAACGCGGAGCACTTTTAGGAGGTACTGGTGGGTGGAAATCGCACCGTTTTCACTTGGCTAAATCGGGCCTACCGACCCAGGCCCGTTCATCCCAAAAGCCACGCCGGTTAACGTGGAGCACTTTTAGGAGGTACTGGTGGTTTAACTCGCCGCTACTGATGAGCTTGGGGCTACAATGCTTGGAGGTGCCACCCAAAAGAAAACCGAAATGACGCGGCGGCGGCTTGCGGCAGCTCGGCGCGCAGGGCGTTTGTAGCGGACCCACCAGGTATGGTGCTCCGCTAGTGGTAGTGATGGAGATGGAGGAAGAAGGGGGAGCAAGATGACGCATAGCGCAGCTCCCACGCAGGACTCCAACGCACGTACTCCAGAAATGTGCAAGTGAAGAATGAGGCTGAAAACAGACAATGGCTGGGGTATACCCCAACGGACTGACGAGACTGGACTAGACTGACTAGTACCGACAGAGGTACCGGCCTGGACTGGCCTACCCCGAATACAACACAGGCTTGTGAGAATAGGCCAAGGGGCTGGTCTCACAGGCCAACCCGAGGTCCGCTACACGATCCTCGACCTGTGATGGATTGCCTAGATACAAACATGCTTCCGCCAAGAAGCGGAACTCTACCAAAAAAAAGAAAACCTGAGTAATCTTGGATGCAGAGCAAGCTCCATGATGAGTCCATGCGATGCAACCTAGGATATAAAATGTCACAAAACAACAATGTCACAGCTAACAGCCTAAGTGAAAGCAGAAGCAACTAACGAACATACATGTCCTAGGAAAGCAAAAGCAACTAACTAGCATACATGTCCTAGGAAAGCAGAAAGTAGTGACAACTAGATCYTAGAATGTTGGAGGCACTAGCCTCAGTCTGGTAACAACTGACTAGTGTATAAGTCCTAAGAACAGCAAAAGCAGAACAACTAAATACTAGAAATGTCGGAGGCAGTAGCCTCAGTCTGAGAGCAACAAAGCAATCAACAAGACAACCATTTGTCACATGAGAAGTGTGTCGCAAACCAAAGGGTGGGATGGTCTCTGAGGGTGGCGAATGCAGCCTAGGGGTCAAAAACTCCTAAGGGCATCCACACATAGTGACAGGGGAAAACACATGTCATCAGGCTCAATGAGGGTAAGGAACTGGGAGCGAACAGAACCAATGACCCTAACAGATAGACCATCAGGGCGGGTAATGCTCGACTAAGGTAGACCGCAATGGAGGGTCGACCGTGCAAGGGAACAAGGGAGCCTGGTATACTGGGCGCACCTAGATGAAGCATGCGGGGCTGCCTAACTAGGGCGTGAAGGCCGGCGAAGGGTAGAAAGATGATGGGTAAGGGAATCATGCAAATGACTCCTAAAGTGAGGGAAGTCGGAGCTAGATCCGTCAGATGGGAAGTAAGGGCAACACTACGGTCCCGATGCCTATGCGTATACCAAGGGAGAGCCCAACTCAGAGGAACCCGGCTAAAGGGAGACCATCATGTGACACAAGCAGGGTACTGTACAGGGTAAAGTGGTAAGAGAGTGGCGACGTCTAAAGTAGGCAGAGCTTATCGTGACGAAGTCCATGAAGCTGGCGATGACGTCCACGATGAGAAGTCCGGAATGCCGTCGAGGAAGAGCCGCAACGTCGACGAGCCGAAGTAGCAAAACTGGAGTGGATGGAGTACTGAGAAGTCAAGGACGTGGGAAGGTAAGTCAGAGTCAATCGTCTTATCGAGCAGGACGACGACGAGTGCGCTGTGGACGCTCAGAAGCATCCGGCTGCTGCTGAAGGTCTGCCTCAGATGGAGCAGGCTCGACTTCAGCGGTCTCCTCAGCCGGGGGAGAAGGAGGACGTTCAGTGGGTTGAGGAGGAGCAGTGAACCCAGCACGACGAGCACGGTCATAAGCACGCATCAACATGCAAGCGTGCTGTAAGTGCTCAAGGGGCTCCCAAGTAGCCTCCTCATCAGGGTAACCCTTCCAACGTACGAGATATTCGACGTGGGGAGGGTTGTCGTCGGTGACTCGGCGACCATTGATGTCTGAAACGAGGAACTCCTCGTGACCGTCCACCATGATGGGTAGAGGGCGCTCGTATGGTCGTCCAGTGAAACGCTCAGACGGTCTGCGGTAAGGACGCAGTAACGAGACGTGGTAGACATCGTGCACACGAGTCTGGCGTAGGTAGCCGGGCAGCTTCACACGAAAGCTGACCGGGCTAGATGCCGTATCAGAACCGACGACCTGGAGGATGCGTCATGGGCCAAAGAAGCGACGCCGAAATTTACGAAGCGTGTCCGCTTCGAGCTGTAAGTGCCGGGCGTCGATAAGCACATCATCATCGACTTTGAATGGATGGTTCATCCTCGATCGGTTCGCATGTGCTGCCATGCGAGTTTGGGAAGCGGCTATGTGCTCATGTGCGGTCTTCATGATCGACGTCATGTGTGCAACCCAATCATCCAGCGCGGGACAACTTGTGTCGGGGTGCATCTGTGACGGTCGAAGAAAGTCCGCGGGAACACGAGGGTGATAGCCGAGGTCGCAATAGTAAGGCGACATCCCCGTGGCTGGCGAGACGGCGTGGTTGTAGGCTATCTCCGCGTGGGCAAGATGAAGATCCCACTGCTGGTCGTCACGAACAATCTTTCGGAGAATATCTCCGAGAGTCATGTTCGTGATCTCGGTCTGACCATCAGTCTGAGGATGGTAAGACGAGGAGAAGCGGAGCTGRGTGCCGTATACCTCGTGGAGCCGTCGCCAGAATCGACTGGTAAAGCGCGGGTCACGGTCAGATATGATGCTCAGAGGTAAGCCGTGGTCACGCACGACTCGGTCAAACACGATGTCGGCGACCTCACATGCACTGATGGCATAGCGGCACGGAACAAAGCGTGCACGCTTCGTGAAGCGGTCGACGACGACCAGGATAGCACCATGACCGCGAGGGGTCGGAGGACGAAGAGGACCGATAAAGTCCATCGAGATGGACTGCCAACGACCCTCAGGGATAGGAAGAGGCTGGAGCAAACCATAAGGCAAGTGGTTCGCACTGTTCACCTCCTGACAGGTCGGACACTCTGCGACGTAGTCCTTCACAAAKTYCTTGCGCTTCGGCCAGACGTACAGGCGGCTCACACGAGCCAACGTCTTGTGGAAGCCCATATGATCGACAACTGCCTCGTCATGGAACTCTGTTACTGCTCGGACACGTAGCTGTCCAGTGGAGGGAACGCAAATACGGGGCTCTCTGGTGCCCTGTGAACTGTGCCAGTACACAAGACCATTGTCCCCGAGAGAGTAGTTCGGGAGGGTCTTGCCACTCCGAAGGGTCGCGTGGATGTCGCGATAGTCGGGGCAGTGGCGGTACTGAGTGCGAAACTCGTCGATCACCGAGTGGTGAACGGTGGTGACCGAGATGGAAGAGAGATGAATGTGCTCCTGGTCGTGGTCAGGGCGCCGTGATAGGGCATCTGCGACCCGATTAGTTTCACCCTTGATGTGCTCAGTGGTGAAACTAAACTCGGATAGGTCGTGCCACCAGCGAGTCTGTCGAGGAGTGAGCTTCGGTTTTGTCAGAAAAGCCTGGACAACAGAGTTGTTTGTACGCACCGTGAATGGTGCCCCGTGCAGGTAGTGACGCCAGCGCCGAGCAGCATAAACTACTATGAGAACCTTACGTTCATCACCAGTGTAGTTTATCTCGGTGGGCAGGAGTTGACGGGAGTAGAAGGCTATCGGACAATCACCTGAGCGAGTCTCGACAGTGCCGTCCTCGGCGATGGTAGGAGAATAGTCAATAGGAGGCTCGTCAGTAGCTGGACGAGTAGGCGTCAGTCGGGAAGCAGTGGTAGGGATAGGTGGTGGGAAGCGAGGGATACGAGGATGAGAGGAATCAGAAGAGGAGGGCAAGACCTGAGAAAGCATTGCTCCTACAGCAAAGTCTTACGCATCGGTGGTAAGGATAAAAGAGCGATCAAAATAGGGTAGGTGAGGAACCGGTGCGCATGTCACCGCCTTCTTGAGGGCGCGGAAGGCGTCCTCGTGGAGGGGTGTCCAAGCCCAGGGTGGGTTCTTCCGGAAGAGGGTGGAGGTAAGGACATAGGAATACCTAGCGTATCCCCGGATGAAGTTACTGTAGTAGTTGGTCAGGCCTAGGAAGCTGCGAAGCTGCTTGGCGGATGTGGGGGCGGACCACTCCGCAATAGCAGTGATCTTCGCGTCGTCTATGTGGAGACCCTGGTCAGACACGTAGTGTCCTAAGAAATTCACTTTGTGCTGGGCAAAGCGGCACATGCTCAGCTTGGCGTAGAAGCCATGTCTGCGCAAGCGGTCAAGGACGTCGCAGAGGTGTCTGAGGTGCTCCTCAAGGGTACGACTGTAGACCAGGATATCGTCGAGGTAGACGAGAACGTACTGCTCCAGGATGTCCCTGAAGATGTCGTTCATCGCCCTCTGAAAGGTAGCGGGAGCATTAGTAAGGCCGAATGGCATCACCGTAAACTCGTAGTGGCCGAATCGCGATCGGAACGCGGTCTTCGGCTGGTCGGCTGCAGCGACACGGATCTGATGGTAACCGCTACGAAGATCAATCTTCGTAATGAAGCGGTTGCCTGCTAGGCGGTCGAACAACTCATCAGAACGAGGCATGGGGTAACTGTTCTTAACCGTGTAGCGGTTGAGACCGCGATAGTCGATGCAGAGACGGAGAGTTCCATCCGCTTTGCGAGCAAAGAGGATGGGTGCACCCCACGGGGAGTTGCTGGGCTTAATGAAACCCAGTCTCAGGAGTTCCTCAAGATGACGCTTGAGTTCGGTGGCCTCGGGGATCGAGAGTCTGTAGGGTGCCTGGTGGTGAACACGATAGTCAGGCACAAGCTGAATGGAGTGCTCGACGTCACGCATCGGTGGGATGCCGGCGTACGAGAACGACAATGGAAAAACGTCGTGGTACTCTCGGATGAGGTCACGAACTGCGGGCTCCAAGTCAGCCGTATATCGTGCAAGTTCCTCAGCGTCAGCGTCGGCGTGCCACGGCGTGGTGGACTCGATGGACGGCGGAGGGACGGAAGTAGAGATGGGAGCCATGGAGATAGAGGGAGGATCTGGCTCCAGAGGGATGAGCCCGGCGTCGGGACATGGTGGATCATAGTGTAAGAGATCCGTCACATCCACCATAAAGAAGGTTACGTCGTCCTGTCGAAAGAAGTGAGCGAACTGCCGAGGCGAGGTGACCGTGATAGAGGGAGATGGTGTGGGCATTGAAGGCTCCGGGGGAGGAGGATCGGGGCGTGGTGTCGCCGTGGTACCTATGAAAGGTACGCGATACGTATGTCCACTCTTCGTTTTAAGAACGAGAGTGTTGGTCGCCCAATCGGTCTCGGTGCTGCGGAACCGACGAGACCACGGAGTGCCGAGAATGAAGTCATACCCCGTCTCCATCACATCGAAATGTGCAGAGGAGCGGTGGCGACGAGACGTCGGGGAGCGATCAGTCGGCTCGAGAGTGAGGAAGAAGGGGAGGTCGGTGACCGTCTGATCGAAGAAGCGCTGGGTCTTGTCATCCCCTAGGGTAACGGAGATGGGAGTCGGAGACCCTGTCGTGGGTAAGCGGGCTTTCTTTACCACGCGTGGGTGAATGAAGTCGCCCTGAGAACCGGAATCCCACAGCGCTGAGTACACCCTCGTAAAGGTCTCGAGTCATACTGGGATGATCGGGAGGGTGCGATCAGGGTCAGAGAGGATGGCGAGAAGGCGACGCAGTGCAGCGACATTGAGGGTGAGTCGCTCCTGACGAGCCTGGAGCATGCTCAAGTCCAGAAGAGAGGACACAACGTCCTTGCGAGTATCAAGCTGCTCGCTGCAACGGGCTGAACGAATGGCTCGACGCGTCGGTAGTCGCGGCGGGGAGCGCCTTCAGCTCACGCTCTCCGCTCTCTCTTGGGCACACAGCCGCCCCGGTCACGCTCGCGCGTCGCCCCCCGAGGTCCCTCAGGAGGACCTCCCCCAGGGCTTCGTCTCTCCTCGTGGTGTCCTTTTCGCTGAGGAGCGCGCGGCTATTCTGGGCCGGCGTGGGTGTTTGCGCTGCCGCTTGGACGGTCATACCTCCTCGCGGTGCCCTTACAATACCGCCCTCGACTGCCACTACGCTGACCTTTCTCGTCAGCGTCGTGCTCTGTCCCCCCCTCGGCGCCTCACGTCCCCGCGGCGCCTCCTAACCACGGTGTAGTGTACACCTGCGCCCTCCTCAGTAGTTGGTTTCCCGACATCTCCGTCGCGGTTCGCCCCTCTCGCTACTGGAGTTGAGGTATCGCAGGACTCGACAGAGTGTACTCAGCCCTCTGTCGCAGTACCGTCTGCGCCTCCGCAGACCACCGTCTCCCCTCCTGCAAGGAGGGTAGAGTCCTCCAAATGATAGTGGACGGCCTCACAGAGATCGAGGTCGTCGCTGTGGTCGCCCTCAGATGACAGTGGGGCAACAGCATCCTGCTCACCATACTCCAGCGCGCTGAAGCGGCGCGAGAAGTGGCGGCCCTGCTGCGTGGAACGGCGGGGGCGACTGCGGAAAGGGGAACGGCGCTGGGAAGTGCCGTGAGAGGAGGAGGAGGCGTAGCCCGTGCGTGGGGCTGGGAGGAGGAGGCGGGGTGAAGACGGGCTCGCATCCGCTGGTGGTCCCTGGCGGCCTCGTAAGCCTGTGGGGCCGATGTGAACTCGTACCGCCATAGCTCGGAGCGGTACCCGAGCGGAAGGCTGGCCAAGAAACGATCGATAAGGGCACCCTCGGGGAGGAACGTCATGTCACAAACGAGGCGGGTTTGCTGAAAGACCTGGATGTGGCGATCCAGGCCGGCAGCGCCACCAGAGCCGGACCAGCGTGTAGTGACGACACGCTCGAAGGCRTCAGTCACGTCGTATCGGGCTCCGAAGCGATCCTCGAGGAACGCCTGAAAATCCATGAAGGTCGGAGTCCGCCCCTAACGAAGGGAGTAGGCATAAAAATCCTCCCAGGCCTCGAAAGGACCGCCACGCAGGCGCGAGGAGAGGTAACCCACCCACGTCTCGGGTGTGGCGTCCATGAGCTGGAGTGTGCAGGTGGCAGACTGCAGCCACCGAGACACACGTATGTCTGTACCGTCATACAAGGCAATGTCCGATAAGCGGATGAGTGGGGCGCCACCGTTTTGGCGGCGAGGGGATCGAGGAGCGGAGGCCTGTGCCACGGCTGAGTAAGTCGGCGCAGGTCCTGGAGAAAGGGGCGCAGCTGACTGTGCGCTCGGGCCGCATGGGGGAGCGGTGGTGGCAACAGCGGCAGGCTGCGAGGGTGCTGCGGTAGAAGAGGTCGCAGCAACCGCGGGAGTAGGAAGAAGGTAGGAAGGAGTTGTACAGGGTGCAGTGCGCGGAAAGCGAGCCTGCATGGGAGGAAGGGTAGAGGAGGTAGGGGGTGCGCCCGAAGGCGCGACCACCTGTGAGGGTGGGGGTGGCTGAAGACGTAAGAGGGCGAGGTCGGCCCGGAGCTGGGCAATCTCGTCCGCGAGACCTCGAACGTAGGTCGATCGAGGGGTGGCAGGAAGAAGAGTGGAGGGGGTGCACGCACAAGCGGCGCGGGGCATCCCAGAGGGGGAAGAGCCAGGTGGCGCTGCGGTCGTGCGAAAGGGAGGGAGAAGTGGGGCACCCGAAAAAGCTGAGACCATGGTAGCGGGTTGTTGTACCGTGGCCGTAGTGACCGGGATCTGGGCGGGTGGGCCCGAAGACTGAGGGGGGGCCTGGCTCTTGGCGGCCGTCGTGCTAGGGGCGTGGACAGTCGCAAAGATGGTCGGGTCAGGGGCAAAGGAGGAGGAAGTTCCGCCGTGGCCACCCTGTCGGGGGACGGGGGACCCGGACTGGGAGCCAGGAGATGACGGACACGCAGCGTCCTAGAGTTGCTGCATGCCAGCGGCAAGGGTCGCCACCTGCGCCTGTAAGGGCGCGAGGGTCGCGAGTTGCGCCTGGATGGGCGCAAGGGTCGCGAGTTGCGCCTGGATGGGCGCAAGGAGGGAGGTGAGGAGGGTGTGTAGATCCCCCTGGGGCTGATGGCCCTGGTCCGCCGGCACGGGTGTGGAACCGGATGCTGTGGTCATCGCCGTGTCGGCGGCGTGTGCCGCACCGTCGGCCATGGGGAGATGACGGTCCGGACTGGAGGGGGCCAGAAGAGGTCCGCGTGAGCGGAGGGCGTAGGGGGAAGTCCGCGGTAGAAAGCGGCGAACGGCGCTAGCAAGGCTAGCACGGGCGCCGTCAAAGGGGGAGGGGTGGTTCGGGTCCAGGGTGCCCGAAGAGGACGGGGAAGTAGGGGGG